AATTAAAAATACACGAACAAAAATATAAATATAATGAAAATTACAAAAAAAAAACCCTAATGATCGGCTCTATCCAAGTGTCCACCGGTGCCACACTGTGGGGGACGCGTGTTGCGACGAGGTCTTCGACGATGTTGTTGTGGTGTGTCAGGATGTTGTGTGTTGAGTTGTGGTGGAGGGTTCTGTTGGGACGGCCCCGGCGTATCAGCTAGATCTTAATACCCTGACCCCTCGGGCGGCCCTTGCTTCCTGCCTGAGGTCCGTCCTCACAAAGAGGGGCGCCCAATAAATCTTCACAAAGTTGGTCAGGGACACCAACTTTGCCGTTGACGGCCTTACCATCAATGTGTAGGCCGAGCAACATATAAACATCCTGGAGAGTCACCGTACACTCACCACAAGGAAGGTGAAATGTATGTGTCTCCGGTCTCCAGCGTTCTAACAACGCTAGAATAAATTTTGTGTCAAGGGAATAAGATTTGATTTCGATCACACGCCCAAACCCACAATGTATAAGATAGTTTGTAATGAGGGGGTCGTGTGGTATGTAGTCATGCACACGACACCGAAACCTTGATACATCCTGCAAAATAATGAAGTAAAATTACTATAGTGTTTTACACAAAATTACTATAGTTTTTTTTGGACAAAATGGTAAGACATTGACATGAACTAAAGGACTTACAAACTCGGCGATGTTTTCAACCGTCCCTCTATGAGAATCACCCATGGTTAGTACAGACATTGTTGAGGATTGGGAGTTTGAAAGTTTCAGACTTTGGGAGGTTGCGAGTTTGAGAGTAGGAGAGTAAGAGAGTAGGAGAGTAAGAGAGTAGGAGACTTTAAGTGTGAGTAGAATTTGATGGGTACATACCCCATATTTCGAATGTGAGGATTCGGGATACACTTTCAGAAACACGGAGGTTACAAGATTTTTAATTGACAGAAGGTCTAATTTTTCACACCTGAAGTCAAGAATCGAAAAAAAACTGCAGTGCGGTCCAGTTGGACAAATAGTATACAAGAACCCAGTATTCTTTGGCGGACTTGATTCGTGCAAATTTTTTCCTTTAAAGGTGCGAGATGATGAAGACGTGCGTAACATGTTCCGCACTCACGAGTATTCAGGGTTCTCAGAAATCATGGTATACGTTACGTTACAACAGCAACAACTGTCTCAACAACTTGATTCGTCACAAGTTTTTTGCGATTCTGAAGATGAACACCCCGAAGTCAATGTCGTGGACGAAGAAGAAGAAGCACCTGAGGTCATTGTTGACGAGATGGTGAACAATCCTGAGGTTGAAGTTCAACCTGAGCATGTCTATTGTCCACCAAATCACATGACTGATATCACCTTAGTTGATAGGGAGAAATGGACGCGAGCATACGACAATGGGGTGCGATGGGGCCACATGACAACCAACCTCGTCGAGTCAATGAATTCTGTTTTCAAGGGAATTCGAAACCTCCCAATAACTGCGTTGGTAAAGGCAACCTATTTTAGGATGGGATCACTTTTTGATAGCAGGCGTGCGAAGTGGGGTTCGGTATTACAATCGGGTCAGCTGTACAGTGACACTGCAATGAAATTCATGAAAGACGAAGCTGCCAAAGCCAACACCCACGTGGTCACAATATTTGACCGTACAGCTGGTTGGTTCAGTGTTGCCGAGGCTATAGATCACAATGAAGGAAGGCCCAGGGGATGTTATCGTGTTGAATTAGATAAGAGCTGGTGTGATTGTGGAAAGTTTCAAGCATTCCGAATGCCTTGCTCTCATGTCATAGCAGCTTGTTCGAAGGCGCGCCAGGACCCAACCAACCTTCTTTCTTCAGTTCACCAAGTCATAAGTCTATGCAATGTCTACTCATGCAGTTTTCAGGTGTTGGCAAAGGAGGACTATTGGCCCGAATACGAAGGCCAAATTGTTTGGCATAATGACTTGATGCGCAGAAAAAAGAAGGGTCGGCCTAACAGCACGCGCATACGAACCGAGATGGATACCTCGGATAAGCTAGTGAGATTGTGTAGTTCGTGTCGGCAACCAGGACACAATCGTACGACGTGTCCAAACGTTGGTCCGAGCAGCAGATCATAGTTTCATTTGTAAACGTGTCCATTTAAATCAAAAGTAACTTTCATTTGATTAAAATCAAATTTCATGCTATTACAGGCAGAGGTAACTGCAAATTTCCTTCTATTACAAGCAGAGTTAACTTTCATAAATTAAACAAACATAACAACAAATTAAAAACATACACCAAAACACCGGAACAGAGCGTCTACGATATCACGACCATCAACTTTATCTCCTTTGGTGTCAACATCATCACAAGGACGCCGGCATCATTTTCCACTTTTCTCCATTCACGAGTAACTCCGTTTCTATCGGTCTTCTCCACCAACCTCTCAATTTTCCTAATCTTTTCTCCTGGAGCAATATCCCCTTCTAGCCAGCGGTTCAGTTCCCTGTGCAAGTGTTCCAACGTCTGCGTATTCCACAGGAGCACCTTCATCGGAGGCTTTGTTGCTGAAAACACCACAAGTGCATTTCTTTTCATTATATCAAACGTTGGAAAAGGTTCCTCCGATGCTGATGACGAAGAAGAAGAACGTTGATTCAGAAATGCAGACATTATGGACTCCGCTCAACTCAAACCGCACTACCGCTTTAGTCTTTTAGGAAATAATGTTGTGAAAAAAAACTTGTGTTTGAGCTCGTATTTATAGCCAAAAAAAAATAATGTTGTGAAAAAAAACTTGTGTTTGAGCTCGTATTTATAGCCAAAAAAAATGATAATTAACAAACAATAAGTTAGTGCGCAAATACATCACAACAAGTGAAAATAAAATGCAAAAAAATGTAAAAACATAATTATACAAAAAGATTGATCTTCCTCAGGGATCGAACCCAAGCTACCAAGGTGAAATGCACATTTGATGACAAAGTGATTACCACTGGGGTGGCTATACATCCATTGATAAATGTCACCCCAAAAATATATATGGAAAGTTTAAAACCCTAGCTGGGCGATTTAACAAGCAACCCAATTTACTTTAAATTTATAATTTCATAAAATAATTTAAACTTTTAAACTTAATTTTTTTAATATTATAGATGACATTAAAAATTTATATTATAAATTAATATTAATATTAATTATATAAATATTAATTAGATTATAAATTTATATTTTTTATGGTTAATAATAATAATAACTTAAATCAAAAAAGTAAATTAAAATTAAAATTAAAAAACAATTAAATTTTAAAATATGAAAACGAAAATATGTTATATAATAATTAAAAAGAAATTGAAAATGCAACAAACCCTAAAATAACTCTCATTCGCCCCACAAAATACTCTCTTTCGCCAAACCAAATGGCGAATTACTTGTGATGCTGTTAGCCTAATTCGCCAAACCAATTGGCGAACGTCTGTTAGCCTAATTCCAAACATTGCCATTTTGGTATTTTTTTTGAAATGTTAATTTGTTTGGTAAATAAAAATTAATATAAATAATTTGTTTTAATTTGTTTAAAAACCAGGCTTGGCAAAATTTTAAAAATTAATATAAATAATAAATTTATAAATTCAAAATAATAATCAAAATAATAAAAATATAAATAAGTTTAAAAATAATATTTATAATTTATAAATTCAAAAATTAATTTATAATTTAAAAATAAGTTTATTAATAATATAAATAATAATCAAAATAATAATCAAAATATTTTATATTTTAAAACTTAAATTAAAATTATAACTTATATTAAAGTTAAAATTAAAATTAAACTTTAAAAATAAAACTTAAATTAAAATTAAACTTATATTATAAATTAATTATATTATAAATTAATTATATTATAAATTAATTATATTATAAATTAATTATATTATAAATTAATATATTAAACTTAAATTAGTAATAATAATAATTAAAAACAAATAAATTTTTAAACTTTAAAAATATGAAATCATAATATAAAAAGAAAAAAAAAACAAAAATCAGTTGCAAACCCTAACTTATACTAATTCGCCAAATGATGTGGCGACTTTGTGGATGGTTTGGCTAATTCGCCAATTGGTCTGGCGAATTTGTTGAAATGGGATTTGGCCTAATTCGCCAATTGATCTGGCGAATGTCTGTTTCCACTTTTCAAACCTTGCCATTTTCGTAAATTAATTGAAACATTACTTTGTTTGGTAAATAAAAATTATAACATTGCTACTTTAAAAAAAAATTCTAAAATTGTTGTTTTCAGAAATATCTTTTCGATTTTGTTTTCAGATATATATTTTTGGAATAAATGTATTAGTAAAATTAAGGTTTGAATAAAAAAACGAATGAAATGTATGTATTACGATGCGTCCGAAGATACATCTATAAAAATTAAAAATATTTTTAAAATATTGTACAATAAAAAATGTTGTTGTCCACTACAATATTGAGGAACTAAATAAAACTTAATTCAAAGATATAAATTTAAATTAGGATTTATTGAAATATAATGACATTGTAAAATTTTATGATAATGTAAAAAGATTTTACACGGTCAATTAATTATATTTTATATTATTAATTAATTATGTTAAATATTAAAAAAAATTAATTTTTATTTTAATTATTAATAAAATAATATTAATGATAAACTCACATCTTAAAACTTTGAGAGTGTATAGTAATTAAACTATACACATTAGAGATGTTGTTAGAGGATGACACAATGTTGTTAGAGGATGACACAATATATAAATAAGTATAAAAATAATAAGTAAATAAATAAATATATAAAAAATACATGACACGCAATGAAATCTTTGTCCATGATTTACGTTGGTATCTTTCTCCCTTCGTTTTGTTGTCCCTCCCTCGCACGCTTTTTCCTTTCTTGTTTCCTTCTTTTCTCCACCGATCTTTTCCATTCCCCAATCCTCATTCCAATGAAACCCTTCTCTTCCATGGCGCCGTAGTTCATCAATCACCTCTTCAAAATGCACGCTTTCAAAGATAAAGTCACACAGAAGCTATCCAATATCTTTGCCAATAATTCACCTGCCTCCTCTTCCCCTCAGGTTATTTTTTCTATTTCAATTTTATTTTCTCTCTCTTGATTTTATGATCCTCATCTGGTTTTTAAGTCCTTTTTGTTATTTCCAATAATTGATATTAAAAATAGCTTATTAGCCACTGTTCATGTTAGATCTGATTCGTGCAAAAATAAAATCTGAATCTGAAGGTTCATTGCTTTCATTAGTTTTCAAACGAGGTCTGAGTTGTTTAATTAAATGCACCTAAAAAATTCGACACGTGTAAATGAAAAAAATAATTGTGTTATTTCATTGATAGATGGTGGGATTTATCAGACCTAGCTGCCTATAGTTGTCTGCCTGCAAGCTCCTGACTGCCGTGGTATGAAATACGGATACCGGAAACACTCACAGACAATAATTTTTAAAAAATGAATGAATTATAAGTAATCAGTGGTTGGTGTCGGTGTTAGTTTCGGACACTCAAACACTTACATTAACCGAACACACTTTTTTCGAGAGGTGTTGATGCTGCAGACTTGGTGGCTTCAAGTGATGGCAAATTTTTCTTTTTATGTATGCAGGCAAGTTCCTATCCTGAAGAGGGTAAACCCGTGTCTTCGTATTTATCTTACATTATCCCGTCAATCTACTTTGATGGATCAAACTCAAGCAAGAATCAACATGATCATAAAGCAACTCATTCATCTTCTGGATATAATTATGAGAATTTTGAGTATCAAGATGTTCCTTCGGATAAATATGTTGATTGTGACCCCGAATGTAACAGCACAGATTTAGCGAAAGATGAAATCATCAATGAAGATCGAACCTCTACAAGGAATAGTAGTAGTTGTAGTTCCGAGGTTTTTGAAGAAGCAAATGGGCAACCTCAAAATAATTTAAAGAAGTCTCCACTCAATCTTTCAGACGACTCTACTTTTATATCTCCAGAGCTGCATGAATTTTTCGAATCATGCCTCCCGAATATTGTAAAAGGACGACAATGGGTCTTACTTTATAGGTAACTTTGCTCTCTAGTTATTTTAGTTGGTGCCTGGAAGAGTATTACATTGTTGTATTTAAATATTTATTCAACACTTTTTTCTTTAAATTAAGGGCAGTACGTTGAAACACGGAATATCGCTTCGTACACTTATTCGCAAAAGCGCTGAACTTCCTGGCCCTGGTTTGCTGGTATGTCCACCTTAATGAGCTAAAATGCATGTCTCCTGGCTGGAACAATTTTTTGCCAAAACTTTACTTATCTCCCGGCCAAACTCCGGATTACAAATGATATTTTCAGATTGTATATCAATGTGTCATTCTTTGTTGACAATGGATTTATTATCTTTTTTATTTATGAAACTGATAGATTGCTGGAGATAAGCAAGGTGCTGTGTTTGGCGGGTTGCTAGATTGCCCTTTGAAACCTTCAGCAAAGAGGAAATATCAAGTATGCTAACTTCCTTTTATCATGAATAATGATTCCTTAAGAAGCCACTTCTTCATCTTGAAGTATGATTTCATTTTCTTTACCTTGATTGTAGGGGACAAGCCAAACTTTTGTCTTTACAACTCTATATGGGGAGCCAAGGCTGTTTCGACCTACTGGTAAGAGGTTCTTGTGGCGTTAATGCTTTTTTTTTTTGTAGGAAGATGTTGGTCCTAAGGATCATTTGGATTTTGAATTTCATTGAACTTGTGTTGTTTTGATTTTGTAAATTTATGTGCAGGTGCAAACCGATACTACTACATGTGTATGAAGGACTTACTTGGACTTGGCGGTGGGGGTAGTTTTGCTTTATGCTTAGATGAAGATTTGTAAGTACTTGTCTAATCTAATTGATTAGTTTCTTTTGTTACATTCAACTCATAGCAGAAAGACCACTTCTAGGATCTTTTCTTGATTCTATCTTCCTTGTTGAATAGGTTAAATGGAACTAGTGGACCTTGTGATACATTTGGAAACAAATGTCTAGCTCATAGTCCAGAGTTTGAGTTGAAGAATATTGAGGTAGTTTTCTTACCTCTGCCAATGATTGTTGTGTAGATTACAACAAATTTGCAAGAGCAATCATCCCCTATTTGAGTTTCTACCATCTATTGTTCTTACATTTATTAAATTAATTATGATATAATACAATGATTTATGACTTACTCGGCATATTTCTTTGACGTGCAGTTATGGGGATTTACACATGCTATGCAAGGATAAGAGATATCTTTATTTCAGTGTCTAATAGAAGCTCTCTCCTGTTTTTTATTCCAGTATTCAAATGTAGTTTATCTTCGAGAGGGTGACTGTTTACACCTACACCATCGATTCATTCAATATTAGTGTCAAACAATGTCCCATGTTTTTGTCGGTAGATTGTATGTTTAAAATTCGACTGTTGTGTGGTAGAGAATATGTAAGGTGAGTGTAAAGCAGGGTCACCACTCACTAGCAATAATCAAATGAATGTTTACAGTTCAACGGGAACAATGTTATAGCCACAGCCACAGGTAGATATGTGTTTTCAATCTTCATAGTCATAATTCCATGAACCTTGTCTTCAATTACTTCAATCAAGTTCACCAACCATATAGGTTGACAAACACAATGTGAAGTTGTAATATACTCTATTTCACATGATGACAGAGTCACCATAGATTTCTTTGTTGAGCTCGAAGCAACTAGTGTTTAGTATAATCATATAGCTTGTTGGAGATTTTCTATCACCAGCGTCATCACATCAACTAGAATTAATGTGGCAAACAAGCTTGCCCTCCCATCCTTCATCTCCGGCTTTAAAATAAGATTCTATAGTCCAACATGCCTCTAAGATACTTTAGTATTTTCTATATTATAAAAAATTTCTTTAAATTTTGGTTCTTTAAAATTTTTATCTATCTACTTTTTTTAGAAAAAATTATGTAGTATATTTTAAATAATTTTTTTAAAGACATGTCATTATTAAGATTTTAAAATATCATTAGTTTAATAATTTAATTTTCAATTAAAATTTAATATTTAATTTATATAACTTAATGAAAATTAATATTAAATTATTAGATTATTACATTAATTGTATGTGAATGTTTAATCAATGATATGTGATCTTACTTGTCGATCAGAACTTGAGATGAGCCAAAGACAAACGTCTGTGATGCTGGGTGTGAAAGAGGAGAAGGAGGTGTACTTGCAAGGCACTTCGATGCTAAAGTAAGAAAACGAGCAAAAGAGAGAGAGAGAGAGTAGGTACAAAATATGAGTGTTTTAGAGTGAATATTTTGATACCTGACTCTCTCAAGTGAGAGGGTTTTTATAGTGCCCCTAGCGCTTGATCGTTGGTCCCTATTTTGGGGGCGAGATAATCGTTTCCCAAAAAATAGGTAACTACCAGAACTAGCCGTTGGGACGGACAGAGGTATAGTTACGGGCACAAGCGGACAGAGACTGCCGGGAAGAGGTACTGTGACCAAGGGTAAATTGGTCAGCCTCCCATGTTGGAGGGGCATAAAGGTAAACTCTCCACCAAAGAGGTTGGACTTAGGCAATTGGGTCATTCTGGGAGGAGAAGTGGATTGGGTCATGCCTAACCATTGGGCCAGTCCGGAACAGTAGCCCTCCAAGTCGTTGCTACCGGGCACGATAGTGATGACTTATGAATGGTCTGCTTCTCGGGCATAGTCGTTGTGAGCTTCCTTGTGTTCGGATGAATACTTGCCTGAACGCCAGAAATGTCATCGTCGAGGAGCTTAGGATCTGGGGAGCCGAACGGTTGATGGGATCTGAAGAGTGGAGATGCCACGTGTGCCTCAAGCCATGTGCTGCATTAAATGCGTGATGATGGCTACGCTAGGGTCATGATGAGGCCCTACCCGCACGTGCTCGTACACGTGCTTGGAGTTTGCCTATAAATCGTGAGAGAGTCTGTTCATTCAGAACTTTTGCTTCTCTATCCTACTGTTTCATGTTCTTCGTTCTCCGCCGTTCAGCGCCGTCCAGTTTCATTTTGGCCACCGTACCAAGTCCGAGCAGAGCTACTCGCACCCAGAAGTTTCTTCCTCGACCAAGTAAGTATGTCGAATCTTTGTTTACTATTTGCTTTTCTGGTGTTACGATTTAGAATGCATGTGGTTAGGGCTGAAACGAGGTAGTTCTAGGGCACTTTGTGGTGGCTGTTGGTGACAGAAGGTGGCGCGACCACTTTCTCTGCTACCGACACCGTAGTGATCGTTTTGGGAAAGGGTAATGTAGCAAGCCATAGGTCTTAGTTGATCCCGGAGCAGGGACGATACGGCGGCGCCACTGCCAGAGGGGGCCACAGACTCTGGTGGTTCTTTCATAAGAGTTCTGGCTTTTTTGCACAGGGACCTTTCCCCGGATGTGCCAGGGAGGACTCCCGGGCAGTTCCCTGTTTGTTTTAGCTGCGTCATTTGAGTATGACTTAGGTCGAGGATTTTGTCCTCAGCCCTTTGCGCGCCCTTTCACTTGACTAGCAGTGGAATTGTGGATTTGATTTTGCCATCGAATTCACTTTTTCCCTCTACTTTTCAGGTAAAAGCGATGTCGCACAGAGTTGACGAGGATGAACAACCCAGAGATTTATTCGAGGATAGCTCCTCGGAGGACACTGATACAGAAGAAGACTCCTTGTCTCCTGATGCTGGGGGGATGACTACCGCGAGGTCATCAGCTGATGAGTGGACTGTAGCTGAGCCGATGGAGCATGCCTCCCTCTTCGCTTCATACACCGGGGATGCATTTATCACGGTGGGACCAGAGAGATAGTGGAGGGTCCACTTCCCTACAGAGGATGATTGTATCTGCTTAGAGTACGGGGAGAGATTTCCCATGTACGAATACATTTTTAAGGAGATAGGGCTGAGGCTTCCCTTCACGGATTTTCAACGGGCAGTCTTCGTACATCTGGACTTGGCACCCTCCCAACTGCATCCAAATTCCATTGCCTTCATGCAGGCGTATGAATTGGTGTGTGAATACTTGCAGATCGGGGCCACCCTTCCACTCTTCTTTACTATCTTCCATCTTCAACGATAGGTGTCGGGGAGGAAGTTCAGCTGAGTTTCCTTGAAACAGGGAAGAAAATTGTTCAAGCCTTTCTCTGAATCCATCAAGACTTTCAAAGAGAGGTTTTATGTGATCGAGCCGGTGTCGGAGAAAGCCACCGACTCAACTTTTGTGTGAGAGGTCTCCACAGACGAAAACGGTGAGGACCTGATAAACGAGGAGGGTAAAATAGTTACCCGAAGGCTGTTCACCTTCCCTTTCTGCTGGAGCGAGGCTCACTTCACCCGTTCGACTGATGAGTATATAGTTACTCCTCATCAGTTGGTAGATGATGATCAGACCAGCTATGCCAAGCTGGTGGCCTTCGTGGACGGCTTTCTTCCTGCTCAGTGTGTAACTCGCGTCGGGCAGGTTCTTTACGAGGAAGATAAGGGGCTGCAGGTGGAAGCCCGATACATTAACACTAAAGAGCTCCTCGAGTGTAGCACTCGTGAGAAGGCTCTCAAACTCTTGGGTAGCTCCTCGCTTTTCCTTATTTCGTTCGAGATGTTCTTTTCCTTTTCTTTTCACGTGTTGACGTGCTCGTTATTTTTTTGGGCAGGTAATATGTCTTCGGCACAGGAGAGGATGATAAAGCACACTCACGGGAAGATGAAGGACGGTGCTGACATAGGAAGAAGTCGCCTTGGACAACGACCGACTCCTCCGCAGACAGGGTCAGGGACTTCCTCTTCGACTCCTCCGGCCACTCAGACATCCCTTTTGCCTGTGAGTTCAAGGCCCAAACACGCTCGTAAAAATGAAATTGTGGACATCAGCTGAGAGTCCGTCAAAATCAAATTCGAGCTGCCTCCCTGCCTGCATAACACAAAGTTTTTCGAGGGGTCCTCCTTATCCATTTCGCGAGCTGAATCACTGAAGCTTGAGAAGATGGATCGTCCCAGCAAGCAGGCCATTCTTGCGCAAGATGCCTCTTCCTTCATGAGGATCCTAGAGATAGCCATGGTGTACACCGAGGATGGATCCCCGCTTGAGCTCGAGCTGAAGAAATCCTATACTGCGGCGGCGACCCTGGAAGAAAAGGTAAAAAAGCTTCAGGAGGAGCGGGACAGGGAGCTCGAAGAGGCTGCACGCAAGGGTCGCGAGGAGATGGCTTCGGAGAGGGACGCCCTGGCTTCCCGGATGAAAACCGCCGAGGACTTGGTGGCGAAGTTGATAGCCGCTACTGCCCCCGCTGAGGATGAGCTTGAGGAGACGAAGAAGTTGTTGACTCGGTCAGAGATGGTCGCGTATTGCCCTATCTGTTACGCATATTGCCCTATCTGTTACGCGTATTGCCTTTCCGTCAGGCCCACCATACGCGTATTGCCCTATCTGTTACGCGTATTGCCCTACTGTTACACGTATTGCCCTGTCTGTTACGCGTATTGCCCTGTCTGATACGCATATCACCAGGACTGCTGCCAAAAACTCAGATTTCATCCCTTTCACGAATCCTCACTCAATACTCTTCATTCTACCACTCAACTCAACCCAGAATTCAGTTTTTTGTTAATCGTTTCTCTCTACCTACACTATACTTCATCTATCGATTATTCTCCTAAGATTTCTATCATGTAAGGTTCAATTTTGTTAACCCCTAACCCTTATTTTCCAGATCTGTTACCTATCAGGATTTTATTTCAGCATCAATGAATTTCCACACGATTTTCATATCAATCCCAGATTCATACACACAATCATCATATAATATTCATTCAACAATAACAGTAATGTTAGGGAATTCATCATGTTACGAAAGTCAGATCAAGGAAACCAAAAATAGACATAAATCCTATGAGAGAAAGGACCTCTCACTACCCTCTCATGTTAATTCAGCCATATTGAAATCCATTCTCCCCCTTACCTTGGATTGAAGCTTTTTCCTTGACAACAATGGAGAATTGATTCCTCTGCCCTAGTTCTCCTTTCTCTGTCTTTTTCCTCTTTTACGTGTTAACTGTCTAACTCTTCCACTAACCTTCTCTTAACCCCTTAATCAGATTTTTAACTCATTTAATCCAATTAATAATAATAATAATAACAACAATAATAATAATAAGTATAGTAATAACCATCATCCTATTAATATTATTATCAATAATAATTAAATAATAATATCAATAACTATAGTATTCTCATTATTGTTATTAAATGGTTAGTATTATTACTATAGGTCCACCTTACCCCAACTAAGGTCACCTCTCACTCTTGCCCTTAACTTTATACCCCTAACTAAGGACATCACAACCAATACACGCACAACAAATTATAAAATGACTAAATAATTTAAATGGGGTGTTACAGTTATCACTAGAGAAAATATCTTTTTTGGGATCCCTCCTGCCTTTTCTTTGTCACAGAATCCAAGGATATGCTTCTCAATTTAAGTGTATCCCTTTTTTTGCTTACAAACATCAACTTGAATGTCTTCCTCTTTATCGTCCCTTTAGAAGGGTTCCTTGCTCGTGGGATTTCACCAGTGATGGATACGATGCATTCAGATTCCCTTCATGACTTTCTTATTCTTCTTCACTACTAATATTATTCTTTCCTTTGTCACTAACGACAACTTCAACAGTCTTCTTGGAGGATTTTTCTCTATGGGGGACTTTTTTTTGGTGAATATTTTCGACTTCCCCAACCTCTCTTATTGTCTCAATGTATTCAGTCAGTTAATTCTTCTTAATCAGTCATTTTGTTGTATCTTTCAACTATAAGTAATCATGTTTATTATAACTGTGACTTTCATGGAGACGACAATATTTGGAATTGTCTATTCAGGATGATTCCTTGACAGGGTAGAGGTTCCTGATCCCGACCTCCTTGAACTCATTATTTTCACACCCCTTCCAAATTTTCTCTGTAAAAGTGTTTAGTGGGGCGTAAGTATTGAAATTAGACTAGGGACCACATTTTCCTTCTTCTCCATGGTGGCCACTTCCAAATTTCACACCCCTTCCAAATTTTCGTCATACTTCTCCTTCCTTCAAGGACAAAGGACCTCTAGGGAGTATTGCTACCACTATTTCCTTCAAGATCGGGGGAGGAGTCTTATGTGTTCGATGACACTTACGAGCAGGAAACCTCAATGTCTTTCCTCGTAATGTTGTTGTCCTAATCGTGGATAGTCCAGGAATGGCGGCTTGATTTCCTTGGGAGGTCGCCTTTAGCGCGATATTGTTTCTTAGTGTGATGTGCTGTAGACTTTCTTTAATCTTATAGAGCCTCTCTACCGAGAATTGTAAATTCTGTTGTTGCACCATATTATAAACACCATTTTGTAGGTAATTAACTCAAATACAAGTTGGTTTATAATAGTTGAAGGCCATGGAGCATTTCTTGTATAAGTACCATAAGCAGTAGTGGAGATCGATGCAATGGTTCGCCTTGGTGGAACTAATGCAAAGACCTGAAAAATGGAAGAGCTTGGAATGCTCCATAGCCGACTCTCGGTGAAATGAAATCTTGTTGTGAAAGATTGGAAGTAGATGCTACAAGAATTAGAACGTCATATGCTTGAGGAAGAGGAATTAGAGCTTTAATAGCTTCAAGAGGTACAACGATTACTTATCGTTAAACGGAGGATCAAATGGCTTTGAATGCCACCATTGTTAGAGGCTGAAGAAGATCAAGAAACTTCAAGGAAGAGGATTAAGAAACAGAGATTTGGACCTTATAGAAAAAGAGATCTAAATGTGTAAATATGTGGGAATAAATTTTTCTTCTCACAGAAGGTGTAACACCCCACTCTACCCCGTACGCGTATTATAGGAATATTAAAGAAAACACATCAAAGTTTTCAAAGCACGTAGGATGTCACATAGTCATTTTTCTAATTCAATGAAGTATCAAGTCACTTCATACTTTCCACAATATTTCAACAAGGTCATTCAATAAAACAGCGGAATAAAATCAGTGTTTAAACATAATCCCCACAACCGTTGGTTATACATCATTAATCCAACAAATAAAAGATACGTAACAATTAATCAAGAAAATAAGCAAAATATAACATAATCCCGTCATCCCATGTTACGTATCAGAGCGACTCCTAGGACTCAATCAAATAGTAACACACTCCAAGCACTACTCAGGTACCTGGTCATCTGCACTCCCCAAGGAGCACAGACGCAACAAATAGAAAAATGGTGAGAACTACATTCAATAAATAAGCGGTGAAATATGCATGCTAAGGAGTAGTTACACACCATACATACAATCATACACATACAACGCACATACATGTGCCACCTCAATCACTCGGCATCAATAGCCCATATTCAAATACAAATATGCAATGTGACTCACTGACTCGACACAATGCATGTGGTACCAACACAAATACATACGGTTCACCCTAGAACCCAATTCCCGTCGGAATCCAGATAAGTCGTATACGTTCCTCTGAACTACAACTTATCTCCACAACGACTTCCACATGAAGTCCGGATGAACTAGGCACCCATCATGGATTCCCACCTAGCCATCTCCACAAGACACATGACATGAAATGCATGACAACACAATTATGCAATATAACAATTTCAAGCATAATTCACGATCATCAATGATCCACACGAGCCATCCGCTCACCGTAATTCTCTCGGGAATTACCATCATCACACCAGATCGTCCACACTGGACGGTCCTGACCCACACATATCAATCACACCCCTAAGGGTAAAAACGTAATTTTCCACATTCTCTCTAATTAAATTCATTACTAATCTTTCTTAGGTTCATTTTAGTCATATTAATCCTACCAATTAAACGAAATTGCTTTCCAAGCGAAATCTGGGTAGAAATCGCAAAAATGGGAAAAAGTCATCCCAGGCCTGCCCATACGCACATTGCCCTGCCTGTTACGCGTAATGCCCTGCTGTCAGGCCCACCATACGTGTATTGCCCTCCTGTCAGGCCCATTATACGCGTATTGCCCTATCTGTTACGTGTATTGCCCTGTTGTTACGTGTATTGCCTTATCTGTTACGTGTATTGCCCTGTCCTATACGCGTATCACCAGGACTGCAGCCAAAAACTCAGATTTCATCCCTTTCACGAATCCTCACTCAATACTCTTCATTCTACCACTCAACTCAACCCAGAATTCAGTTTTTTGTTAATTGTTTCTCTCTACCTCCACTATACTTCATCTATCCATTATTCTCCTAAGATTTCTATCATGTAAGGTTCAATTTCGTTAACCCCTAACCCTCATTTTCCATATCTGTTACCTATCAAGATTTTATTTCAACATCAATGAATTTCCACACGATTTTCATATCAATCCCAGATTCATACACACAATCATCATATAATAATCATTCAACAATAACAGTAATTTTACGGAATTCATCATGTTACGAAATTCAGATCAAGGAACCAAAAACAGACATAAATTCTATGAGAGAAAGGACCTCTCACTACCCTCTCATGTTAATTCACCCATATTGAAATTCATTCTCCCCCCTTACCTTGGATTGAAGCTTTTTCCTTGACAACAATGGAGAATTGGTTCCTCTACCCTAGTTTTCTTTTCTCTATCTTTTTTCCTCTTTTACGTGTTAACTGTCTAACTCTTCCACTAACCCTCTCTTAACCCTTTAATTAGCTTTTAATTCCATTAATCCAATTAATAATAATAATATAATAATAATAATAATAATAATAATAATAATAACTACCATCCTATTAATATTATTATCAATAATAATTAAATAATAATATCAATAACCATAGTATTCTTATTAATGTTATTAAATGGTTAATATTAGTATTATTATAGGTCCACCTTACCCCAACTAAGGTCACCTCTCACTCTTGCTCCTAACTTCATAACCCTAATTAATGACATCACAACAAATACGCACACAACAAGGTATAAAATGATTAAATAATTTAAATAGGATGTTACAGAAGGCGCCACAGTTCCATGATGGAATTAGATTTGTTGATAAATTGTGAATCAATGTTTCACTACGGTGGTTTTAGACTTCCGATGCGGTGGAGAATCGGCTGGGCTGAAAAGTTAATTGATTTAAATAGTTGAGAATGTTACACTTTCTTTCTTGCATAGTGAAAACAGATTAAATTGAAAGTGGGAAATGTAGCGTGAGTCGCAGTCAACCATTCGATTGATCGACCGTTCGTAATTTTACAAATGCGAAATTGTTTGTTCTAAAGGAGCTTTCGTCCTATGCCTTGTGAGTGGCCAAAATGATTATTTTATAGATTAATTATTTACTATATAATTAAATTGCATCGAGATTAATTAACACTATATGCAAAAACCATATATACATAAAAGTTGTAGGATACAATACATGAATTAGTTATTGTAAATTGAAAAGGGCTTGGTCAACAGAAAATCCAAGTGTTGTGTTTGCACGTGGATGAAACGAAAGGAGCAGCGTAAGTTTCTGGTTGACCCCACTCTAAATAGCCTTATATATCAAATCAAACATATTTAACTAATTCCTTTGAGTCTCTCTTTGACATCTTCATACCTAACTAATATGTCTTTTTTCTCTATTCCTTAAATCTTATATGGACTCTTCACATTTTTTCACTCTCCAACACAGAAGGATCACACCAACAACTTATCACATTTTGCACTTCATTAGATAATTCATCTTTCTATTATACCTTCTTTCTTTTTTTCCTTTTTTCTTTTTTCTTTTTTCTCAAACCAAAATCACAAAAAAAAAAACAAAAAAAAACAAAAAAAAAAACTGGTGTTCCTTCAAGATATTATTATACATCAACCATGTTGCAGGATGTTTTTGATCCGCCACTGCCATCAAATTCAAATCCAGATCAACATCAACATCATCAAAATCAACATCAACCTCAACATCAACAACAGCAACTCTCAGTTGTAATTACCTTACCTTAATCAACTGTCATAAAATTTGTGCAATGTTTTTTTTTTCTTTTTTCACTGCATGAATGATTGATATTTTGTGTGTTTGTTTGTTGCATTGCAACTTGTTAGAAATCCAGAGTCCATTTTTGACATTCTTCTGCACGACAAATTGTGTCATTTTCGGCATATAATGCTTCAATAACGACGGATCAGAGATTCTGCCATAACAGAATTTGCACTCTTTTTATATAATATGTTATCTCTATCCGATCCATGACAATAACATGCAATAAGAATGTCATTTTCTAAAGGTTGCATCGTTATAAAGTGCAGTGTAATCTCAACTTGTGCATTTTTCTTTCTTTCTGGAATAATATTATATAGCTTTTTGTACTTGTTCACACTTTCGCTAATTTAGTTAACAGTAACAGCAAAACAACACTACACATGTATAGCATTATGGTTCCTTTAAGTCTCTTTTAATTCACATTCAATCAATTTCCATAACAACTAGTAGCATGGCATGAGGTTCCTTTTTTGTTTTTTCTCCAAACCTTGCCTCCAACATGTCACATTATAAGGCATAGCATAGATTCACATCTTTTTCTGCAATATCGACATCCTAAAAATGCCATCTCTTTGTATTTATCTGTTTATAACCAATCAAATTTCTACGTTGAATACTCCATCATCATCATCACTTTTCTTCTGGTAATCATGTTATTTACATTTCCTTTATATGCATGGTTACAGGATGAAATTTCAAGCCCTCTCAGTGCCGCGCAAATTTTCGAGCTATGTAACCCTGAGTTATTTCCAGAAACTTTGCAGAATTCTGAGGTTACATCAAGCTCAAATTGTTGCTATGAAGAGAATTCCTCGTATGCCACAAATATATTAGATGTAGAAACTAAATTCAATAATAGAAATAGCAATCACACAGTAGTCGCAACTCCAACTAGCACCAACAACAACAACAACAATAATAATAATAATAATAACAATAACAATAACAATTCCAACACTAGCAATAATCTATCTGTTATCTTTGATTCACAAGAAGAAATCGACAATGACATATCTGCCTCCATAGATTTCTCACTGTCACCGTCTTTCAACGTTCCTTCATTCCTTCCGGTAACATCACAACAGCAAGTAGAACAATTTGATTTCAATTCTCACGTTCAACAGTTAACAGCATGTTCATCGGTGGAAGGCTTTTCACAGTATCATAATCCAAATGATTCAGTTCCACCTCTTATGGGAGCTCCATTATCATTACCACCTGTTTTTGAAGAGGATTGCATAACTTCTGTACCTTCTTATGTTCCTTTGAACCCTTCTTCTCCTTCTTGCAATTATTTTAGTCCTGCCGGAATGGCCGCGTACATGCCAAATGGCCCTCTTACCACTGCTTTGTCTGCTGATAGCTCTGGTTTGTTTGGTGGGAACATTCTTCTTGGTTCTGAACTTCAGACTCAAGAGCTTGATTATCAAGGAGATAGTGGTAGAATTTTTTGCCCAGATCCTATTCAGAGGGTGTTTAACCCTCCTGATCTTCAGGTATTGACAAATTCTAAACTAGTCTCTCAAATAACGGTTGCAGTCGCATAAAGACTACGGGTGTTGTGATACTGTTTTGTCGTGGCGGTTTTTTCTGTTACGAACCGTTTTTTAAAACCTTTATGTTAAAATTACAAATGTTCAATATATTCTACTCTCAGGCAATTAAAACTGAGAATCAACAACTAGTAGCTGGTTCTGGAAGTTCTGCAACTTTAACACCAGAAATCTCAAACTTGGAAGATTCAACATTCAAGGTTGGAAAGCTTTCTGTTGAAGAAAGGAAAGAAAAGATTCACAGATACATGAAGAAAAGAAACGAAAGAAACTTCAGCAAGAAAATTAAGGTACTCTCTCAACCTTATCATGTTATATGAATTTGCAAGGTATAATTACTTGCTCATGAAACCACTTCTTCTTACTGCATATTTTGAAGTTCATCTAATGATGATGATACAAACCAAATATGCAGTATGCATGCCGCAAAACACTGGCTGATAGCCGACCTCGAGTTAGAGGACGATTCGCAAAGAATGATGATTTTGGAGAGGCACAAAGAACTGCTAGTGGAAATCATGAAGAAGAAGATGAAGAAGAGGTATAGTATAAGATTCATCTATCTCAAATAACATTCAATTATTATTTTTGAAATGGTTTCTAATCATGATTCCTTTGATAATTGTAACTATATACTACAGGTAGTTGTGAAAGAGGAGGATGATATGGTTGATTCTTCAGATATATTTGCTCATATCAGTGGAGTGAACTCATTCAAATGCAACTATTCTATTCAGTCATGGATTTAAATCAATAGTTTATTAATTAGTTTATGTAGATTTTTGCATGGCCTTGTTTCCCCCCAGATTTCTCTTATATGATTGGGTTTGATGGATGAGGAAGTTGAATAATCGGGGTCCTAATACTAATATAAATAAATTGAATGAAGAATATAAATATATATAAAAAGTATTCTCATTACTTGTATCAACCTATAAAAAGGTTGAGTTGCCTCCACCTACTAGTGGAGTTCATTTGCGTAGTTTCTTTTATATTAGTTGGAAACTGCATTTTTCTTTTATCCTACCTAAGCACATGTTTTTGAATGTATTTTTGGTGTAAAGCTTTTAAATATATATTATTATTTTTTGACGGAAGCTTTTTAATATTTTTTATTCATTTCAATCGCGTCGTGAAAAATATTCGAGTGCATTACACGTTTGATGATACAACAAAGTCGTTGTCGAACTTTATTTATTTCAAAAAGAAAAGGAAAATATCGATAAAATTCAATGGGAAGAGAAACTGATAAGGGACTCGATTATGTGAGGGGAAGGTATTAGCATCCCTCACATGCGTCGTACTTGATGGGAACCATTTTGCGTGTTCTTTGCGTTGATGGGTGTTTGTGGAGGATTGGGGTCCTAGTGCCTACGTATTCTCATAGTGCAATGAGAAAATCAGAGTTTTGTAATTCATGGAACTAAGGATAGAACAAAAGATTTGGTGTTTAAACTACAGAGGAAATAAAGGTGATGAAAGTGGTGTTTGAAGCAAAGAAGGGATAAAGGTGTTTAGATCAAAAAGAATAATAGAAGTGATAGGAGTGATGTTTAAACTGAGCAGGAGAGAAAAGCGGTGTTTAAACCAAAGAGGAAATCAAAATGGTATTTAAATCAAACAAGTAATAAGAGGGTGATGTTTAAACCAAGAAGGATAAGAGAAGTGATAGAAGTGGTGTTTAAACTAGAGGAGAAGTGAAAAGGGTGTTTAAATCGAAAAAGGAGATAAAGGTGGTGTTTAAACCAAAGAAAGAGATATAAGTGTGGTGTTTAAACCTAGAAAAGAAAGTGGTGTTTAAACAAATAGAAAAATAGAAGTGGTATTTAAACCTAACAGAAAGGAAATTGGTGTTTAAACCGAAGGAGAAAAGAAAATGACGTTTAAACCAAGAATGAGATATAAATGATGTTTAAACCTAATAGAAAGGAGAGTGGTGTTTAAACTAAAGAAGTAATAAAGGTGGTGTTTAAATCAAACAGGAAAAAATGGTGTTTAAACTAAGGGAGTGATAATGGTGTTTAAATCAAACAGGAATAAAAATGGTGTTTAAACCAAGAAGTAAAAGTGGTGTTTAAACTAAAAAAGGAATAGAAGTGGTTTTAAAACCAAAAAAGCGGTGTTTAAACCAAAGAAGTAATAAAAGTGGTGTTTAAATCAAAGAAGGAATATAAGTGGTTTTTAAACCAAAAGAGAAGTGTTTAAACCAAAGAAGTAATAAAAGTGGTGTTTAAACCAAAGAAGTGGTGTTTAAACATAAGAGCGGTGTTTAAATCAAAGAAATAATAAAAGTATTGTTTAACCAAAGAAGTGGTGTTTAAACCAAAAGAGCGGTGTTTAAATCAAAGAAGTGGTGTTTAAACCAAAAGAGTGTGTTTAAACCAAAGAAGTGATGTTTAAACCAAAAGAGCGGTGTTTAAACCAGAGAAGTGGTGTTTAAACCAAAAGGGTGATGTTTAAACCAGAGAAGTGGTGTTTAAACCACAAGAATGGTGTTTAAATCAAAGAAGTGGTGTTTAAATCAAAAGAGCGGTGTTTAAACCAAAGAAGTGGTGTTTAAACCAGAGAAGCGGTGTTTAAACCAAAGAAAATTAAGAGTGGTGTTTAAACCAGAAACAAAGGAGTGGTGTTTAAATCAAAGATGTGGTGTAGAGATAAGTTTTGTTGAGGTGTTGAATGGTGGAAGGTTTAAGTGTTTCCCTAAGGCGGAAAAATGTCCTTGATTGGTTGTGATTGATTTTAGGTGGTAGACAAGCATCATACCACAAGCTAAGTATGACCGACAATCCAACTACTTAGGAGCTAAAAGAATAATGGTATCCCAACCTCTCTTTTTAATCCCAAAAGTTTTGTTTATGAAATTTGTAAGGCGAGTATAAATTCGTTCACTTAGAGTGTTTGAATGGAAGACAAGTATCGAGCCACAAGCTAAGCACGACCGACAACCCAAGTACTTGAGAAATGTTGTGCTCAAGTACGCACACCCCATCTTTTTTCATCCAGTTTATTATAAAAATGTTTTGAGAATGACTTGAAGTTAGATCAAGCGTTTGAAGAGTGAGATTAAAATATATGAATCAAATGAGAGAGGTATTTGACGTTGGATCAAACACTTGCGTTGTGTTCAATGGAGTTTGATTTGGAAAAACACTTGACGTTAGATCAAGTTTATTTTTATTCTTTGGCAAAACTACTGTCTGAGCCCTTTGAGTTATTTTAAAATATCAAGTTAGTCCCTTAAGTTTTTTTTGTAACGCTTTGGTCCTTTTTTAAAAATTTCCGTTACAATAAATTACAAGCTCATATACCATTTGAACTGGTTTTTCGCACTGATTACGAATATGTAATTAATTTTGCGTTTGATTGTGTATTTGGGTCAGGTCGTTGATTTTTCATTATGTATTTCGTCCATTTTTACCTTATTCTGATGAATCGTAACTTGTTTGATATATTTGATTGCATATTTGTGATCAGCGTAAAAAAACCAGTTCAAATGGTATATGAGTTTGCAATTTATTGTAATAGAGATTTTTAAAAAGGGACCAAAGCGTTACAAAAAAACATAAGGGACAAATTTATATTTTAAGAAAACTTAAAGGACTAAAACAATAGTTTTACCTTATTCTTTTGGAAAAGGTTCTTTTTATCATTTTGGTTTTATCTTGTTTATTAACATGCAAAGCAAAACGGTAAAGAAAGGTAAATTCTACGCTACTACATGTCCACGAGATGAGGGGAGCATTTTTCCTACCATGGAGGGATGGATCACTAAGCCAATACACTTCCATGGGGATTGAGATCATTTTACCCATAATGGGGGGATGGTTCACAAACCATACAAGAATTAAATCCGTACAACCATACACCATACAAAGTAAGGAAATAAACCATACAAGAATTGAAAAAAAATCAAATGAAGGAGGTGAAAGAATCAAGGCAAAATACCCTTTTTGATCATTTAACTTTATCTCGGGGTCCATTTTGGTCCCTTAATTTTAAAAAATTCCATTGTAGTCTCTTATGTATTCAAAAAGTGTCATCTAAGTCTTTTCCGTCTAATTCTCACAAACGGCGTCAATTTTTTCATGTGTGGCATATATACACACGTGTGGCATCTGACATGGCATATGCTCATCACAAAGGTCATTAAAATTCCAAAAAAAAATTCTAAAATTTTTCCCTTCTCCGAGAATCGAACTACGAACCTCACCTTTCTTAGATCAACACCTCTACCAACAAGGCTATTATCAACTTATGAAATTAAAAGGCCATATTATGCTCTTATATTGCAGAAATAATACATGTTTTTTTCCAAAACTTCTCTTTTGCTCTGCTTCCTCAAAACTAAGACCAGAACCAGAAGCATTATCATATTCAACAACAAAATCTCCACCTTGAAGATGGAATCTTCAAAACTTAACTTGTCATTCTTCAAAATAAATTAAGTTATAGGTAACGAGTTCAAGATAGGCATATTTTCTCCAAATCAGTTATGTTGCAGTCCAAATTTAAGCTACAAAGTGAATAATGCACAAACGTGTGTGATTGATATTTGTTGATTCAACTTTTTATTATCAAATTAAAAAAAACTTGATATGTAAGTAGGCAAATTATAAAATAGATGTATGAACATCATTGATTAACATTCAAATGGTATTACAAAGTTTAAGATTCACATAAAGAAACTGGTAGACGCTGCTCATTCTAGGGTTAAGAAAATAACATTTGAGAATGAAATTGAAGTAGAAATAAACTAAGCTTCTCACCTTTGAAACCTTAGAACTGTCTTGAAATCCTGACCGATTTCACAAACAAGACGTTGGAAAGGAAGTTTTTGGATTAGAATTTCAGTGCTCTTTGGGTACTACGAATCTCTCTCAAAGCAACTGTTCCTGGCCTGAATCTGTGTGCCTTCTTCACTCTGCCGGTTGTCGGAGCTGATTTCCTAGCGGCCTTTGTTGCTAGTTCCCGGCCTGAGTCTGTGTGCCCATTCAGAAACACAAAATTCGAATTAGGGTTTGTTGTTGGTGGGGAGTGGGAAGAGGGTTGAAAAACACGAAAGTGAACATGACATTTTTTTTTATAATTTTTCTGAGTTTTGATATTTTTTTCTTTTTTATATAAATGTTATTAATTTGTTATAATAAGATTTGTCCATGACATTTATTCATTGGGGTTTGATGATAACAAAGTATTAAAAGAAAAGTGGTTATATTTGATGTGTGTTTCATGTATGCAGGTTCTAATACTTATAGATATATATTCAGAATCGGATATACAAGGGCACACTTGAAAGAAGCTGAATTGCTAGCTTTTGGTGGTGCAGAGTCTGGAGAACACTCTCTAAGTGATATCTGACGTAGACTTTGAAGTTGAAGGTCTCAGCATTAGAAAAATAAACATAATTTCTCTACACTTGGTGAATGTAAATTCGCTTCTGGTGATCATTCAGAGTTAGTGATAAAGCTGAAGTTATACGTATTGTAGAAAGCAAGTTGCATTGTCAAATCAGTTTGTCAGCTAGAGTCTTAGTTCACAAGGCTCAAGAAAAGTTGGCATGCTTTACGGATATCTATTCTCAACTACTCTATAGTACATGATCTCTTTGAAGACTCAATGGTTAAACACATTACATAATGGATCAAAATCTTTTGGTGTATCTATCTTTAACGTCTCTTGTACTATGGAGAAAGAAAATACACTTGATCAAGTTATCTCTCCAACGGCTAGTCTTCTGTAAATGCTATAT